TTAACTAAACAAATTAAGACTGGCCGCCAGAAATGTCAGGAAACATCCCCTTAAAATTTCAGCTTTCTAGCTTCCGTGGCCCCCCAAGATTTCAGCCTTCCAGCTTCTCAGATCCCCGAGTTATGAACTTACCCGAAGAAAATTTTGGCGGGCTCGTACGCGGGACCAAGCCGGTTTTGGCGTCCATTTGGGGATTGGGGGCGGTACGTACATGTAGATTAAGTTCCCGAAATTTTAGCCCCGCAGCTTTTATAGATTCTGAGATGAAAGTGCGTGACAGACGCACACACAGACAACCTCTCGTCAATATGCGTTTTTCGCATTGCATTGCTGCAAAAAACGCATAAAAAACACACAGACAACCTCTCGTCAATATGCGTTTTTTGCATTGCATTGCTGCAAAAAACGCATAAAAAGGGATCTCGAATGCCGCATAAGTGAAATTAGAAATAAATCGCTGTAAAAGTATCGATTTGAAAGAAAGGAGGAAATATATAACAACAAAAAATCGAAGAAAATAATTATGAGTTAAGACAGAAGAGGATACATTTTTCTTGTAGCATATGTAAAATTCAAAAAAGTGTCAAGGTCGCTAGCAGGATGAACATCAGTCGATAAAGCATTGACCAAAGCAACTGGAAAAGTCGGCAGGTGCAAATTTGGAGGATCAACGAAATTTACAGAATAAGTTTTATCCATAATATTTTTGCTGCTGCAGAAGTATCTGAGAGGAGGCAACGCGAATACACATAAAACAACCAAACGATGCGCGTGAACACAGCAACAGCTGCTAATAATCGAAAATGCAATATTTCCAACTCGTTCTGTGTTTACAGCTATGGGATGAGACATAGATTGCTTTTTCAAATGTTCATTCCAAATATAACTTGTAATTCCTATGCCTGCTTACTAATATTTCATAATGCGCCTGCTTTTTGCATGTGCTATCACTCGGGCTACTTCCATTTGATTTTACTTTTCAAAGAAAGTGAAGTATGAAGGGAATTTTAATTTTAACCGGTAAAAAACCCAAGTTCTCCCCCCCC